TACTTGTTTTATTAATAAGCTAATAGCCTCTAAAAATTTAACCAAATAAAGTTCATTTAATATACTATAATATGAATTAAAAATCTCATTTTTTGTTGAAAGGTTCCCGTAACCCATTTTTAATAGATCAGCTCCCATATGATCCGAAGTGACATGATTTGTAAATACACAAAACGAGTAGATTTGTTAAAGAGGCAAAAATACAGTTCCTATATAATGATTCTTTTTACTCATGTTTAATAAAAATACAAAATAAAATAAATCTTATTTTAAGGATTTTATTTTATTTATTATACATAAATTAAATTGATTCTCGTCCAAATAAAGTTTCGACTTTTGTCAAACCTGGATTATGGTTTTCCACGAAACTTTTTCCAATACATTATTAAGTTAAGTAATTTGCATATAACGATAACAAAATAAAGTCATATTCGTTGACACAGTATTTGTAAATACTTCTCAATTTTCGTCATTGTGTCAAACTTTGAATAAGCAATGAATAATACCGCCTTATTTTTAAAGTTATAGTATCAATATCAGTAGGAACTTGTTTTTTGTTGTTTTGCATTATAAGGGAAAAATTTTACAGAGATGAACTGCAACTAAAGTTTATTTTAGTAAAATCGAATCACGAGATATAAAATCAATACTTATGTGACTTATGCGATGCGATGTATAGCAAATTTGTTCTAATGCAAAATATTAATAAAAAAAGTTCTATTACGTTATCAATGACTCAAATCAGACATACTGTATATACAGACGATTATTTTTCGTGCACATTTTAAATCTTAAAAAAGCAGAACTCCTGTAGAATAAGATTCAATATTAATTTTAAGATAATATAAATACAACGTGAATTGTTGTGGTTACTCAAGGGTTTGTTAACTTGGCATTTATAATAAAATAAAGGTCATTTGAGTCGTTTACAAGGACATTTCAAGATCATTCGCTTTGTAAAATGATACTTAGATAACCTAATTTTTTCTTATCTCTCATCGATTTTTTATTCCAATCAAAAATAAAACGACAAATGATGTAAAGCACGTCACCATGTATCCATAAAAAAATTTAAAATAAGATCATCAGTTTGTACAACAAAAATTTTAACACAATTAAAAATTGTCAAGGTTTCATATTTTAAAAAGAATAAAAAATAGATTTTATAAATTTATATATATAAAATACTGAGACATATGATAAACGAGAAATCTATTTGTGGTCTGATCGAAAATGACAATAAACGAATTAAAAAAAAAATATATATATTTGTATAAAGACGCGTTCGCGTTTTAACGAAGTCGCGCATAAACATTTTGTAGATTAGGAGATACTTCATGGAGGTGGTGTTTTCCCATCTTCAAATTACATTGAGATAGCTGAAGGTTTTTCATTGTCTTTTCCGTGTAATTTTTTCACTACATAATTAGACAAGAATGTAAATAATTTTTTCATAAACTTACTAATTTTTTCAGCAATTCGTGAAATCTATTCTCACCTTTGATGGATGAGGATGAGCCGCTTTGTGGTAAAGCAGTGACAGTTGATAATAATACCAAGGCACTGATGATTAAGATGATTACTCTGGTATAACTTTTCATTTTTTACTTGATTTATTTTATTTTGAATGTTTGAATCTTTATTGAAAAGAAATAAATGTGTAGGTATTTATAAGTTTTTGTTGATATGTGGAATCAAAGCCCATTAAATTTCGCCCAAAGCTTTGTCCATCAATTAATACAAAAATAAAAATCTCCATAATTGGGATAAGCCAGGATTCTTAATTCATATTTAAACGAAAAGCAAAGCCATTATTCACACGCAGCTTTGGATTCCGTTCTCCCGGCCCGAAATTGCGACTACCTCTGCGTACCCATCAAAAAATGTCACGAAATGGCCGACATTAAGGATCGGCAACATGCATGATCATGCATATGGGCCTGTAAAAGTCTTAATGCGGGCCGACGTGACATTTTTTGATGGGTACGCAGGGGAAGTCCGAAATTGCGCACTGCGGTTTAGATATCACGTGATGGATACAGCTTGAATAAATTTTCACATGCTTCATGCTTTTAAAAATCAAAAAAGGAGTATAGATAATCAGAAATGAAAAAATTAAAAAGGATTCTATTAAATATCATTGCTGCTATTTGGTCTCCTCAAATTCATATAGAAACGTTGTCATTAAAATCAAAATCATGAGATAGTGCATAACAGAAATTGCCAGACTTGTCAAGTGTGAAACACGAGATGAGGTTAAAATTTTACAAATTATTTAATAGAATTTTATGGAAATAGAACGGAAAGGAAGTGTTCTTGTGTGGCTTGGCTAGTTAGGCTCAACAAAGCAAATTAAAAACTCAACAGAATCTCGAAGTTCAAATAGCAGATCTTACCCAAAAACTCCAAAAAATTACACCAAGAATATAAAGAAGAAAAATCCCAGATTTTCAATGATCACCACTGCAAGCGTTGAAGCAGCAGCAAGATGATAAAATTACAAAGATAAACACAACGATGCAATGGCTCATAATAATTTAAAAATTTTTTTTTTACAATTACAGTATTTCTCATAATTTTTATTTTAAAACCTACAAAGATGTAAGAATGTTGATTGTAATAATTGATGCAGGACTTTGTTCGTTAAAGACCGTAACCCCATAGCTGCAGCAAATTAGATAGAGTTCATATATTTACTATATTATATATGTTAAGTTATATAAAATCCCTTGTATTGAAGACTAAATCGAGATAGAATTTATCCAAAACCATGAGTCCAATAAATAAATAGCAACAATTCATTTGCTATTGCCTTTTACCATGTCTCCAAATATTCTTTGTCGTGATAATCTGCCATATTTGATGCGACGAATTGAATTAAAATGTATCATTTTCTATTTCAGTTATACTTCAAGAACTGGTCTAACATTTCGTATCCAAGGTCTAATTATTAACCTGGTAAATGGATAAACAAATCTATTAATCTTGTTAATATTGAAGATTCTACAGTTGGTCTGGTCTCATTGACGTAAATCAATAACTTTACTCATTTTTAAGCTCATAAAGTGTCACCATTTAAGTAATTGTTGAAGTTTAAAGATTAGAACGTATGTGATGTAAAAAATTAGAAAAAGATCAGTATTATATATGGAAAATTGGTCTAGCTGAATATTCAATATGAAAGCTTTTCTTATGCAAGACGACGATATTGAAAGCAAAAATATTATGTTTATTTAATATTGCAAATTAAATTGTTTTTTAACATTATGCATATTGTTTTTAGTAACTATATCCTTTATCAAATACAAGCTGTAATTTCTGAGACTATCTAATGATTTTCGTCATTATGTCGAACTTATGAAGGTTCTAACACCGCCATGATTTGCTTTGACTTATCCTGATTTTTGGAGTTATAGTATCAATATCAGAAGAAACTTTTTTTTTTGTTGCTTTTTATTATAAAAGGGAAATGTATACAGAGACTAAAAAGTTTATTTTAGTAAAATCGAGTCATGAGATATAAAATCAATACTTATAGAACTCCTGTAGAATAAGATTCAATATTGATATTAAGATAATATGAATTGTTGTTATTTTTGTTGTTACTAAGCATGATTCTTAAGACGAACTCAAGGGTTTGTTAAACTTGGCATTTATAACAAAATAAGGTCATTTGAGACGTTTACTAGGACATTTCAAGGTCATTCGCTTTGCAACATAATATTAATATAATAATCATTTTTCAGATAACAATATTAGTAGATCATCAGTTCTGTACAACAAAAATTTTTTTACGATTACACCGGTCATTCATCAATGGCTGGTGGCTTAGAAACTTTAATTGACGAACGTTACATGATTTACAAAGTGCATGTATTTACTTTTTTTTTCTCCAAGAATTTTTATTATTTTTACAAAATAAAAAATCAAGATGCAAGATGACAATTCGAATGAGTGGAATAATTGGATTGAAGAATCAGTCTCAAGAAAAAACATTAAATTGTATGAATTCAAATATTTCAACAATTTTCAAAATATAGGTAGGGGCTGCTTTGGAAATGTCTATCGTGCAAATTGGAAAAATTCGAAGCAACATCTCGCGTTAAAATCATTTCATTACTTCAATAATGCTACTGTTAAAGAACTTGTTCGTGAGGTAATTAAGATACAACATGTATTTTAGTCTATTTTCATTTCATCTATTTAATATAAATTATTTTTATATTAAGCTAAAATTTATATTCATAATAATTTAGCTTGAACTTCAACGGGAAGTTGATTTTCATAACAATATCATTCGCTTTTTGGGGATTACATTGTCAAACCAAGGTATAAAATCTTAAATGATTAGGTGAATTATTGTTTTATATTTTACTCATTTATTTTTATTTAACAAAAAAAAGATAAAATAGAAAATCATAATATATTGAAAAATTATTGGTTAGTAATGGAATATGCTGATGGTGGTTCGCTTAAAAACTATTTGAAGGATAATTTTGATAAGATTACTTGGGAAGATAAATACAAATTAGCGTTCCAGTCGGCATGTGCTGTATCATGTTTACATGAAGAAGGAATTGTACATCGTGATTTGGTAACTTTATTTTTAATTTTATTATTATAAACATTTCTTTCTATTAATTAATAATAATTTTTTTTTTAATATGAAAAGCATTCGGGCAATATATTAATCCATCAAAGCGTTATTAAATTAACAGACTTTGGTTTATCAAAAAGAATTGAAGCATCGACTAGTAATTCAAAAGTTTTTGGTTTAATTCCTTATATTGATCCAAAGCGCTTTATTAAAAATAGAAAGGATGACAATACATCGAAACAATATATACTTAACGAAAAGAGTGACGTTTACAGTGTTGGCGTGCTCTTGTGGGAATTATCAAGTGGTTGTCAACCTTTTCACGTTGAAGGTGAAGAATACGACATTGATCTAGCTATAGAAATTTCACAAGGACGTAGAGAAATTATTGTTCCTGATACACCTGAAGAATATGTAAATATTTATACTGGTAATTATATTAACTTAAAAAATGTTAATTAATAATATAAAATTTGTATTTACGTTAATTAAATTTTTTATATAATTTTAGAGTGCTGGGATAATGAGCCAGATAATCGTCCAGACATGATTCAAGTAGTTGATCGATTGGATTCAATTATTACAAAACCAAACATAAAAGAAAATAAACAAATGAATATAGATGATGAAGCAAAACTTCAATCATTAGCATTACAGCGGAGTAGCGTTATTGCTTCTTCCAGTATAAATAATTCATTACATGGGGATTTATCTCGACTAATAGAAAATTTTAATCAGATGAACGTAAAAGAATTAGATAATGTAGAAATTATTTATGACGATACTATTGATAGTTTAACTATTAGAGATACTAATAAGGATGACATATTAAACTCCTTAGGAGGATTACAAAGATATCGAAAATTAACGAAACTTGATTGCTCTTATATTCAAATAACTGAACTATCAACTTTACCCAACTCCTTAAGGGAACTCAATTGCTCTAATACTAAAATAACCATCCTACCAACTTTACCCAACTTTTTAACTAAACTCGATTGCTCTAGTACTAAATTAACAATCCTACCAACTTTACCCAAGTCCTTAACGGTACTTAATTGCTCTAGTACTAAATTAACAATCCTACCAACTTTACCCAACTCCTTAACGGAACTTATATGCAACTATACTCCAATAACAATCCTACCAACTATACCCAAGTCCTTAACGGTACTTAATTGCTATTATACTAAATTAACAATCCTACCAACTTTACCCAACTCTTTAAGGGAACTCGATTGCTATTATACTAAAATAACTATCCTACCAACTTTACCAAACTCCTTAATGGAACTTTATTGCTCTCATACACAAATTACTATCCTACCAACTTTACCCAACTCCTTAACAAAACTCTATTGTAGTAATACCCCAATAACTATCCTACCAACTTTACCCAACTCCTTAACTAAACTCGCTTGCTCACATACTTCAATAACTTTCCTACCAAATTTACCCAAGTCCTTAACGAGTATATTTCCTAAATCTTTAAAAAACTCGATACACCTACTATAATATCTAATCTAGGCTTATGAACTAACTTTTTAGTAATATTTTACGTTTCTGTGATTATTTTTTTATTAAAAAGTTAATAATATAATAAAGTTCTTAACTAATAGAATTAATATTAATAAAGTTATAGTATTCCTAATTATATATTTAAAGGAAAAAAATACATTCAAATTTTATTTTAAATCAAGAATAATATTTTTACAACATAGACAGGTGGTAATCAATAATAAGGGATTAATTTTAGTTAAAAATTTCTCAAAACCTCATTTTCTTAGATCACAATCCATAATTTGCTCTACTCTATTACATCATTCTTCTAATTTTCATGATTTGTTAAGATTAAATAATTCTTTTTAGACTAGAATTAAAATTTTCTGGTGTCACTAAATCAATGATGCTTTGCTTCATAAATTGCTATTTGCAATGATATTATCAACCGTTGAAAAATTTACTAATGTAATTTCCGAATTGGTGATATATTAATATAGCATATATTCGATAAGCTAAAATTTTAAAGTATCAAATTCATGTTCAATACTGATCATTTGAAATAAAATCAGCATGAATCTTTTAAAAGAAATCATTCAATTCTTTAAAGATGGAGAAGAATTTTAATACAATAAATATAATGAATACAATCCATTCTCCAATTTCAAGTTGAATTGTAAAAGATCCAAAATAATGCTTCAATTTCAGAAATTATATGGGAGATATGAAATTATATATTATATAATCTCGGAACCTCATTCCTTAGAAAACCTCTCATATGTTTATAAATATCAAAATTAACATTTATTTGCTACAATAACTAATCTCTACCCGATTTTGGTTTAAATCGCAAGGATTGCATCTGAAATTTTATTATGCAATTATTAGGATCTCTCAAATGGATGATATTATTGACGTATATAATTACGTATACATTCGCATTTAATCATCGTCGGTCCTAAATAGATCACTTAATAAAAGAGTTATTTAGCAGGGGCTATTGATTCACTAATTTACCCCAGGCTCTGTTATTTGTCACATACTGTGTGTGGCAAATAAACATCACCACCCAAAAAATTTTGCCACCCCAGATACGATACATAATAAAAATTTAACAATACCGGTGTCACGCTGGTGATAAATAACCTAACACTAACCCTAACCCTAACTAATCTCAATTATACCAGCCAATCAGAGCCTGGGGGTAAATTAGTAAACCCCTATATCATAGCCCCTGCTCAATAACTATATAGTATTCTTGATCATTCTATGTTAGTAATTTCAAATTACTATAATAGTAATTTATATTATAAGAAAATTATTTTCTACAAATTATGACTTTAAAATACAAAAGATGAAATATATAGCGTAATAGGAAAACATTATGTTGAATCATTCTAGTACGGTATATTATACTTAATTTAAATTATAAATTCATTTATGAATAATGTGTACTTATTTTCGTAAGAGAGATAATTAATGTAGTTATAAATTTATTTTAAATGCGATAGGCCTAAAATATCCTATTTCAAATATTCTAATCCTATCGTTAACTAAGCTAAGCCATGGCTTTGCTACAGCATTCTTTAAAAACATCAGAAGACTTGTGGCTTAAATGACAGAAATTCCAATTAATTGATCCCTGATGTTAAAAGCGTTCATTTTGACATATTTCTTCCATCTTGCCAAGGAGTCCGAATTGTACTAAAGATCCAAAAAATCAACTCTAACAGATCCTGATCATCATGGCCACGATCAAATTCGACGCAATCAAGCCCGAGGGTGACAATAAATAACTCATTGTGACCTAGTACCGCCTGAATATATATTTCCATATTTATGATTTGATAAACGTCACGTAGTGACGTGACCTTAACCAATATAAGTAATCACTGTACTAGTGCTCCGTAAGGGTCGGGTCGGGTCGGGTTTGAAGCAAACTCGAACTCAAACCCGTTAATATTTACAGGACCCG